GTAGAAAAGCAGTGTTTGAGGGCCCCGAAGTAGCTCTTAGTAGGATGTACAGTCATTTGCAAAAGTTTAGGACCACCCATAGAAAATGCATTAACCTGAAGGAAAACCAAACTTAAACCAATCAATCATGGCAACTTATGTTTATTTTCAATGTGCAACCTTGGTACCTTGGTTGAACATTTCTGACTACTGTTTCCATGATTTGGCATGTTAACAGTCTAATATTCAGTGTTCCCTCCTTTATTTCTGATTGACTGGCTTTTTTTTACCTATGCTGCCTTGCAGACAAAATATCATACAAGACCTACCTTTGCAAAAAATTTCATTCAAATGGGTATATAGCACGACACTGATGTTATGCAAAATCATCATTCAGTGAGACAGTGTAATGCAAGCCCAGTGACAGAAATACCAATGAAATTCAAGGTGGTCTTAAACTTTTGCAAATGACTTTACATGTAGTGTCAAAAAGGACGCACTTCAGTTATATAGGCCTACATGTACACGTATGTTTAAAACTGGACGGGAAAACATTGTCATTTATACCGTTAATCCTTGCCAGTAGAATACACATCGCAACGGGAGATGTTAATGATGAAGCCTATCGCTTGTCTGCCATCCCTTTCTTCACGGATATGCCCCTCCCCTTCTGTTGGGTTTGGACACGCTTTGGAGTAATCCCACAGTGGGGGGAGGGATATTTTGGTCCTCCTGTCAAAAGAAACAAACTGTGCTTGCTGTACATTATGGACCGGCACTATTGCCCGAGGGCTGGGGCCGTGGATTGTCCCCCTCGCAAGGTTATGCAGTTGGCAAGATGAAATGAGGAGGCAGTGATAAGAACAGAAGTGCTTTGGAAATTTGGATAAATTGAAGAAATTTTGGTGCCCCAAACCAACAGCTGCGTATAGTTTTAAAAGAAAAAAAACCGAACTGATGGTTTGTGTCGCTCACTGTTTGTAAGAAGAAACTGTCATAAGTAGCAGTGCGGTATAAACGCTAGTGGCCTTTAGATTGTAAGGTTTTTCGGAGAAATATTAAATGATGAACTGCTGGGCATAAATTTGTACTTCGATTTACTTTTGCCTTGTTTTAAGTAACTATTGTGGCGTTTGTAATGGTTTACAGGTAGGGAAATCAGTGAAATCTAATGGGTCATAAACAAGTAAGCAAATTTACTTTGAAAATCAAATTTGGCTCTCGCTATTTGGCTAGGCTGGATAAGTATTATTGTGCTAAATTCCTCGCGCAACTCTAAGCGATACGACACCCCTTAATTGGAAACTCGTAGTATGTGCATAGTACATAAACAGATGAGGTAAAAATTACTGATGAAATTTCTCTATGCCACAGAGGTAAAAACGTACGGAAGGAATTGAGCTAGGGCTGTTGCGGTATCTGGTCATAGAGCCGTGTCGCACCGACACCTTTGTCGGCACGATTTGTGGGGCCGTTGGAATCATTGCCGAGCCGGCGACGAGCAGCCGCCCCGCGCGCGCTTCCTTTCATCGGTAATTTGCCGGGGCCAGCCAACCCTGACTTACGCCGATCCGGCGAGCCGCGAGTTCGGCTGCGTCGGGCATGCCTGCTCGCTTTGAAACACTCCGGTGAAGGTCACTCGGGTGTTACCCCATATGACTTCATGTCTAATACGCTTTGTACTGTCTCGTCTGCTGTGCCCATTGAGTCTCTGATCTTTACCGATACCCTCTTGAAATTTGCACAATTTTATAATCCTCGGATTTCCTCAGTAGTGTAGCCGCAAAAAGGTTAAAAGTTTGTGCCGAGTTCCCTTGCAGACATACCAGATGGCGCTACATGTGCTTTTCCCCCTCTTTGATTCTTGGGCTGGATGATTTTTGTCGTGATTCGATTTGATTGATTTGATTTGATACCTTTATTGTCCATACGGAAATTTGTTTTACCCTGGATTTTAAACACAAAACATAACAACATTTCCCCACAAGAAGGTACTTCATTATCAACCTTATCCACCATTATAAACTGTATGATTCAAAACTACTGGCTTTTACAAATTGAACAATTAATTTTCACATAAAAGTCACAACTGTACTGAATTAATTTACCCCCGTCGGAAGACTATGCAGCAAGTGTTCATTTAGTAACTTTGCTGTTGACAACAAAGATTACATGTATTTGAAGGAGCGAGAATTTCCTTCAAGTTTGAATTCCCTTCTAGTCCTCTGCAGCACTTCCAACCATGCAAGCAACCCAACATCGACCTCGACTCTACCTTTTGTTTGTCTAGAATTTTTCAGTGGGATGTGACTGTACCTGCTAGTTGGCATCAAGTGATAGGAACGCCTGTACCCCACTTCGTTTACTCACCCACTCAATCCACCCAGTCCACCCGCCCAATCCAACTCCTCCCTTCTCTTACTTAGAACGTTTGGTACCTTCAAGTCTTGAAATCACCCATAGTCCCAGTGACACGCTGCTGTACTTCCAATCAGTTCTAAAATCACTTGGGTATTCATCAGTTTCAATACGTTCCATTCATTATTCATGTACATGTACTCTAAAATGCACACAGCTACTCAAAGCTTACCTCGTCTCTGTCCGTGCGCCAGACTCGCAAATAATTGCATGTACGCCGAAGATGCACCTCCGAAAACGTCGAGCCCGCTTGGCCAATAATTGCTTCGACCCTTATTGACCCTGGGGCAACTATGGAGCTCGCTCGATCCGGCATCGCCCCGTGTAGCTCACGACAGCGGCTTGGTTTGGCCTGCCTGCTCGCCCGTTGGGAGTTTTGTCCGGACTTGCGACGACGAGGAGGAGGAAAAATGCCAGTCCAAGCAACTGCGGCGATAGCCCGGAAAATTGTGCTGACAAGAACGATCCATAAATACATCGAGCTTGGTATTATGAAAATTGATTGATGTATTATTGAGGGTCGTTTTATGAAGTCGATGATCTTTCCAAACTGACCCTTCCCGGCGCTTGGAAACACGCATAAAAATGTTTACGCCAGATATGGGGATGTATTGAGTCATTCTGAAGCACGCTGGTTGAAAATACAAATTAGGTGTCAATTGGTCACGGTAAACATCTTTCTTTTTGCGGTTTGTCTCAAAACACCTTTTATAGTCTTCATCCACTGGCAAATGCGGGGTCCAACGGGGGCCACCTCCCTTAAAAGGTGGCAATTTCTGGTAAAATGTAATGAGAGGAAGGCGAGTTTAGTAAAACTATTAAATTTCCCTTCCCACAGTGCCAAAAAGCCTCGAATGTACTTCCATCTCTCAGAAAATCCAGGAAGAAGTTGAAGAAATTCCTAAACTTTTTAGGAATTTCCCCCTTCCCCCGAAAGATCCCCCTTCAATCCCCTCCCCATTGGTCTGCCCGTGCACTTCACTCGCCCTTACCGCCCTTACACCACAGAGCGCTGGGATCAGGTGATTTCTTCGGGCTGCATGATCCAAAGTAACCTACGAACAACAATTCCTTTGCTGAAAAACCGTGAGATTGTTTTCAAGGGTAGCCAACGGAATCGACCCTGGCCATGGCACGGATTGCAAGCCCGAGCCTGCGTGTCGGCCTAGGCTGGGTTCGAACTGGTATCGCAGACGTGGAAGGGCCCAAGAAGGTATACCTTTTACCCAGCTAGGCTCATGCCATGAAGCAAGGTACCATTGCTCAGCTGGACAAGACTGTGTGTTGCACATTTTCTGCGAACTCGCAAACTTCAAGACTCGAAAGACAAAAGTGGTTCAAACATTTTGGCCAATCACTCGAGAATAAAAATGGCCCGAAATGTGCCCCACGACCCCTGCAGTGTCCAATTTTATAAACAGACAGTAACATTTTACAGTTAGTCGACGCGACATGTCATTATTCTAAATGGAGGAATCTCTTTGTATGTGTCTACCAATGTGTAGCGATAGACGACAGTGTATCAGTCTTTGTGTTGATCGTAAATGCAATACCAGTGGTTGGGTTTTGAAACATATACAACTTGGCCCGAAGCCATGTCCTCAAAAACAAAAAAAAAGGGAAGAGAAAAAGAAAAAATCTGACCTTAACCGTTTGGGGGGAAAAAGAATGAAAGGAAGTGTCTAGTTTTGTGGATAAAATATTTACGGCCGGCAATCCTAGCGAAGCCGGAGGGCTAAATAATTCTTAGGAGCGCCGCTTGGAAATACGGCTTTTCCCTAGTGGGAAATGACATAGTACCGGCGGGCGAACTTGGGCAGCGCGACGAGTGACAAAGGCCGGGTGAAACTTGCCACTCGGCCGGTGACGCGCTGACGTGGAAGCTCGTCTGCGGAACGGTTGCGGTGTGTGTGAGTGTGGTGTGTATATGTACAGATGTTCTATTTCTGTAGTGTTGGTGTGGAAGGAGCATTGTTGAGGGTGATGTTAGAAACAGAACTTAGGCGTATGTGATCCATGAAGTAACCTAACCGACTTGCAAATGTCCTCCAAAGTCGATACCCTTTTGTCATTGGGTTCGTAATTTGGTGCTGATTCTGTTGGGGGAGGGTGAAGGGCGTGCCGTGGCCGCTTTTGTGTTTTGGATGAAGAAAAAAAGGTTAATTGAAGACAATGGGAAATTTTCGAAACCTTCAGCAGAGGGAGTACGGATCTGGGTGTTGATAGTGACGTGAGACAAATTGATGGGGGAGCATTAAATTTCTACCAGAGTGGGAGACTCTTGCTAGTCTTTTCCAAAATGTACACAACTGAGATTCAAGACGCGAGTGAGAATTTTTTTGTCAGTCATTATTTTGTATTTGTCCCCAGACAGTCCGATGCCTCTATTCTACGAAACGGCAAACCCCGCCGCTCGTCACTGCATCTCAGTCGTGAATGTTTCAAATTTACACCTCGTCAAAAAATATTCCAGCTCAGGCCTCATAGTATTTCCGCAGTATCACCTTACAGTTCGAGACAAACTTGCCCAGGGCAGTTACAAATGAATGAAATAAAATAAGTAGAAAATGATAAATGAATTTTAAAAAAGGAACCAATAAACCTGTTTTTCGAACACATCAGTTTTAAGTGGCAATTGAAAAAATTGACTTGGAGAACTTTCCTCTTTGCACACATTTTTCTCAGCAACTACAATAATTAAGCCTTTTCATATTTTTATAGATGCAAAAAGCTTTGTGTAACCACTTAATATCAAACAGCTTACTTTTTACAGAATGTTTCATAAATTAAATAGAAAAACGTCAGTTCTCAACACAAATACGAAATTCCTTATTAGCATGGATATTTACAACTTTTTTTTCAGAAAAAAGGTACGAACCCTAAAATAAGTCGCACACTTTGCTTCTGCAGTAGTATACATGCCTAAAAAACAATATTAAAGTGGGCTGTTCTATAAGCGATTTTAACCAGTGTTTTTCGAACCTTACATGCATGGGGTAACTGTAAGTTTTGTGCAGCTTAAAAGTTGGGGTGAAACGTTCATGTCGAGCTTCCCTCAAGAACTCAGGATGGCCATAAAAGGTTACTTTTCCAGATATAGTAAATCCCAGATTTCAGGATTGTTCCCGCTTAATCTCGCGCACAGGAAAATTACGATTGTAAAGTCTTTTAACAGAGCATTAAAAATCCTACTTAGATTAGAAACTAAGAGCAAAAACGATTTGATGGGATTTAATGAACAAAGCCAGAAAACCTGAGGAAATGATCAAAATCGCACCCCTGTACACATTTTCAATGGACCTTGCCGCCAAGGCCGTTTGTGCGCATGCGTGCATGATTATGAATTTATTAGTGAAAACCTCTAGTTTGATCCGTATTTATACCAGGCGGTGCTGACAGGAACTGTAGAGGGCGTGCTTGGGTAACAGTAACGGCGCCCTCTGCCGTTTCAGCATGCCTTTGAACATTCCCAGGACTAGGAGGCCGTTTTTCTGTTGGAATTAGTGCATGTCCGAATTCCTTGGCTGCGGCATGAAATTACCCAGCTGCATCCATAAACTCGTGCGTAATTTCAGGCCACAGCTAAGTTATTTGGACACTTCATTATACATCTACTTTCTGTCTTCTGGACTTACTCGTTCCCGTAAGTTCTATTGGTAAACACACATTTTGGCTGATGCAACCTTGTTCCAAAGATTATTAACCATGCAACTCCAGACGGTCCAAAAGTGATGTCCATGGCATTGCACCGTTCAGCTGGCTGCAGCTAGGAGTGTGCACGTGTCTACGGGAAGTAGTTGCAGCCGCTTGACAGTGGCTTCCGTAGGCGCAGATGTTATTTTTTTAGCCTCAGCCGTAACTTTTGGACGCTGCCGAATGGTCACTTTGTACACAGAGGCCTGTCCACGTTTAAGTAAAATTGTGCAAGGTAGTAAAGTAGGCCTATCTAATATACAATAACTGTTAAGTAACAAGACGAGTGAACGTACATCTTCATTTGAAAAGAAAACTGTCACTGCTGAAATTGTATCCATAGTATCTGTCAATCAAAATGTCTTCGGCCACGTCTGCGTCTGGGATAACAGGAAAACCCTTTTTATAAAATTCAGGTTCCCCTTATAGTGTAGAAGTTTCCTCAAAATGTCCATAAACAATGCCATGACATCAAGCACCCGGTTCAAGTGGCGTCAAGGGCTACTTTTTTTTGGGGGGGGGGTTCAGTCTCATGCTGACATCCGCGAGTAGTCGACAGAGTTCCCGATCTCACCGAGCCATCAATTCTAGACACTCCCTCTGTGCGAAATTTGTAGGGTTTCTTCTTGTCTGTGTACTTCTTGTCTCACCTTTATGAACTCATCTCAGGAACGAAAATGATGCCTCATTCTCAGATGAAACTGTGCACTCTATATTCTCCAGAGCTCAAGTTTCAACGGTGCACAACTGTATATAGTCGCTGCTCGTTCGCATACAGTTACAAAAATGTCCAAACATTTCAGTAGAAATCATACGAATTACTCCAAAAAACAGTGTTCACATGAGGGGTATTTGATGCATACTGTATTCCCTCGCTCGCAGCCTGAGGTTGGCCAGGCTTGGTCCGATCCCCAGCCCCACGCTGACTCCGGCGGGGTTTTCGGCGTTGACCATGCAGGGGTTCATGAGCGTGGTGGGCACGCCAACACCGCTCGGCCCGCCTACACCGCCGGCGTGCCCGGGCGGCATGCTGACCGTGCCCGCCAGCCGGCTGTAGGTGGTGGGATTCCAGGAGGCGAAGTCGGCCGGGTTGGTGACGGGGCAGGGCCGGGCGGCCACCGGCTGCTCCACACTGACGCCGTTGACGTTGCCAGCGTTACGGCGGGCTGATGCCTTGGCCGCCTGGTGGCTGCGCTCGTTGCGCCGGAACTTTGCCCGGCGGTTTTGGAACCACACCTGAAGTAAAAAGAAAGAAAAACCGATCTACTAGATCGAAAAGGAGGGAAAGGTCTCTTTCTGCCCTTACATGTCTTTAGGATTCAACATTCTTTGGACAAATTTCACGAATTGGACACATTGGACATTGACGAAGTAGACAGGTATACTTCAAAAAATCTTTATCGAATTACCAGCTGCATTTCTCGCTAATCAAATACCTTTGAAGTGTTGTCTAATTCTACCCGAAGTGCCCTACAATTGAGATCATTTCATACCAATTGTTCGTTGAAATAACATATCCAAATTTGTAACCAACTGTTTGTTTTACGTATTGCTCCAAAATGTTAAATTATGGATATTGCAATTTAAAGAAAGATCGGTTCAAATTTTACATCCTAAATTGGGTTGCACATAAACGAAATGATCTTAAAATAAGAATAGTTTTCGCTGTACGATTTGTGCTTTATCCACGTTAGAATTTAAAGCATTTTCCCAGGTATGGAAAAAGGCATGGTCACAGCTGTGGGTTTGTCAAAGACACGCCACTTCTATATAAGAGACGTACTTCTGCCTGACATGCCCAGATGTATTTCAACAGTGCACCGATACATTATACAACGCTTAAAAACGCATTTCCATATGCGCGTCAACACTTGCACCAAGCGTTGCGTATCCGTCAGAATCGCTCCCAGGGCGATTTTGACGGCCGAACGCAACGCACACGTGTGTAATGTTAATGGGTCGATTTTTGGGTCCGTGAAGGTGAAACACATGAATGCATCGTGTACGCAACGTACCAAAATGTCCATGGAAAGGCGCCTTGATCCGGCATCGTCAAACACAAAAATACTAGAGTGCATGACACTGAAGCGGCCGGTGTGTGTCGGTTTGTTTCTGAAATGTCACATTGATAATACAGGCTTTGATGAATGCCACCAGACTAGGAAATGTCCGAACCCATTTGCCCTATAGGCGCATGTGTTAAAATCTCAATTTTACATGTACTGATAATTTTCCCTGTCAGTATGATTGAATGCTTGCCCTTGTGCGACTCTGTGTCCTGTCGAGGCTACACGTGTGCCTGGCCGTGTTCGAATGACTCCGACTGGCTGCGGTTAGCGACTAGGAGCGACACACGCGCGTATGGGAGGTGGCGGCAGCCGCAAGCCAATGGCGGTCACAGACCCGCGTTATTTCCAGTTACAGGGCTACATTTGGACACGACCTGTGTTGACCAGGCTGTCAGCCTCAGACTAACCTTGGCATGTGACGACTGTACCTGTGATCACTACTGCCTCTGATTTCAGAAACAACCTTAAAGCTTGTGTATTAGGGCACCCTTTTTGAAATTCTACGGTTCTCATTTCCAACTGACCCTATTTTTGGCTCCCGACCTAAAAAAAAAGAGCCTTATTTCTCTACCGACCCTGCTGAGAGGACCTTGCCTATACACAAAAGTATGTTGTGATGACCCGTACAGAAACGGCGCTAAAAATGTACTTGTGCGATTCGATTTCGCCCAAGGATCAATATAGCGACAGTCGAAATCCACGGTGCGGCATCACTACCAGACGGCGAGGTACTGAACCGCACCCACTGTAGTACATGTACGTGTACGGGGCGGCTAGGGCTATGCATAGCGCATAGGAAAAACCGAAACACCGTGCATGCACCATGCAGGCCTACATGTAGACACACTGCACACACGAACACCGTACGGTGTCTAGACACGGACTCCAACGAGGTATTGTGTTGTGTACCAATCACAGTATTTCTCTCTACTCAGCTAGAAACAAAGACATACATAGTACTCAATATGAAAACAAGTGACAAGTGTACATAGTGCATTTTGCCAGGTTTATTCCGTCATAAATGGCAGCAGCATGGATTTTTTTGGGGGGGGGTTCGACCGACCGCCCCTTCCTCAGTTGACAAAAAGATACGAAAACCGTAGAATATGAAACGGATGTCCATATTGCGAACACAATGCCTTGACCAGCCCAACAGCGATAACACGCTTGATTTCAGGTGTACAGAAAACAGGCAGATCACTCGAAAATTTGATAAACAAGCAAAGTAACAAAGCCAGTCAACAAGAAAGCTCAGCCAATCCAAATGACCTATTCACCTCTCTTCTGACCTAGATGCCTCCAGAGAATCTTTCCACTGGTCAGAATCCATCGTGAGAATGAGATTGTGGCCCAATAAATTAACCAGAAATAAATATAAAACCGCAAAACAATAAGACTCAGAAATAAAACGCACTTGTTTTTCCTCGTTTCGACTGTCCCATACACAGAGTTTAGTCTTGGAAAAAGTCAACCGCCCCCACGGGAGCGCCAATAACTCATAAACAAGGGCCGCAAATACGAGCGAGAAACCAGGCCGCGTGGCCAACGCCGGTCCCGGCAGAGCATTAAAAACTGTACCTTGACCTAGATATAGAGATTAGTTTTTGTCGTGGTGCGCAATCCGACATGACGGATGGGCGTAATTAGGGTGAGCTACGCGGGCAAGATGTCTGGGTCTTAATAAAGGCCGGCTTGTATTTGTCATTGTCCGTTTAGATGATCATTAAATTTTCCCTGCTTTCAGTGCGCCCAAATCGGGATATCTTTACTTTTTATTTGCATCAAATTTGAGCTGTTCTTCAAAGTTAACAATGTTTGTCACCACCCTGTCAGTGAGTAGTTGTGATATTGGTGGCTATAGACCCGACTTTGTAGAACGGCAGAATAGGTTATGTCGCCTATCAATTCTACTTGCTGACCAAAAAACCACGAGTGGGAGGCCAGTTACAAGCCCCATACTTCTTATAATTACGTTAAAGTTTGGCTGGTAAACTTCTGCTGGTAAGGGAGCTAAGCAGATTTGTGTTCTTGGAGGATTTCGTGAAATTTGAACCTGATCGTGAAGGTTGGCATAGAATTCTAGTTTGGAAAGATGAGGAGTGTTCTCACGGACAACTGGTGGGAAGTTCCTAAATATTCGTTAGTTAAATTGACGAGCGTATGAAAGATAGCCCATAGAATTACAGTAATTTTGTATTTTGATCAAAATACCAACCTAACTGCCCAGTTTTGCAGCAAAATGACGATATAATATGACTATATATCTACAGTTTTAATGTTACACTACACTTCGCGGTGGTAGTTTAATGAAGTGGTTAATTAACACTGCGTGGTTTCTCAATAGGCCTATCGCATGTATTTGTGAACTTAATAATTGCTGGAAGTGCGAACGAAGGGGAGAAGGATCACCCACCTGTACCCTGGCCTCGCTCAGGTCCACTTTCCGGGCCAGCTCCTCTCGCAGGAAGGCGTCCGGGTAGTGGGTCCGCTCGAAGATCCGTTCCAGCGCGTCCAGCTGGGCCGTGTTGAAGGTGGTCCGGTTCCGGCGTTGCTTCTTCCGCTGCTTGACCTGGGCCGGTGTCAATCCTTCCTCTGTAACCGCTGTGTCGTTAACAAATTACACGGGTACGATCATTAACAAAAGACACCAGAAAAAAAGACCGTGACCACTTGGCCTTGACAAGTTACCCCAACCTCGAACTCTGCTGTCACAGAGGGTTCGTGTGCCTTACCTTGCGACGTTTCGAACATGGCCTTGGCAATTTCATAAACCCACTGACATTCCTTGCCAAGGTCAGTTCTGTGCAATAGTATTTTTTCTCCTGTCTTATAACTTTGAAAATCCTTGCCTATGCTCAAAAACTGAGTTTGTTAAAATATCACTTTGCTCAAAGCAGAAATGGGTGGCGAACCAGCGATGAGAAGTGCACATAATCGTGCGGTCACTGTAGTGTTTTATTTGGTAACCCGTTATGGACAAATATTTCCTGTGTTCGGCAAATACCTGTGCTCGGTATTCCATCAGTTTGATCCATATATTAAGTGCCTTTAAATTAAATCTCAGTCACTTTAAACTACGCAAAAAAATATATAAAAAGTTTCCCTTTTCTTATTTCATTTCACACTTTGAGACAGGTTTTTTTCAATATGCACACTAGTGAAGAACATCGACTGGGCACACGAGCCTCCCAAAGGATGCTGCACCGTATACAAGCGAGAACGTTCGATGCAAAGCCGTTTGCCAGGCAACATATAATATCCTTCCCCCATAAAACGTGTTGGGAGTTCGGGCTGCGTCCGTTGAATCCTCTGCCGATTAATGATTAGGCGCTAATGGAAACTGCCGCCGTTTTTCGCCCGTGGGCAATGTTACAGGAACCACGATAACTTCCCCCCTTAGCCGGGGATGAGCTGGTGACACGGATGCTATCAAGCCCTTTCACGATATAAAGCCTGGCTCAGACCTATACTGTACCGGGGCTGTGTAATCCCCTTGAGAAAGTTGCTAGCCTCCGAAGAACTTGCGTTCTTTTTTTGATCAGAGATAGTTATTAGACACGTTCTTCCTTTTCTCTCCTTTTGTCTTTTGGCTATACGTTTCGAGCGTCTTCATATAGAGCAACTTATTACCTTTTCAGGAAATCAAAATTTCACTGCTACCAAAAAATAATTTCGTCGCCCATTCACACGCCACGAACTGTCAGCTGATGTGTTCCGTACATGTACAACCAATATAATAAACGGTCTTATTAAACGCTGCTCCACACCTCCCCATAAATGCCACTTTTGTTTTTTCAAATTCTATAAGCTAAACAGTCATTACTTTCAACTTATCCGTTAAGCAGATACAAAGAAGGGAACACTAGTTGACATAATCGGTAATCGGCGCCACTATTTGAGCAAGGAAATTCGTCCTAGCCTTCTCAAACACCTTTCATTTGGTTCCCAAAACCTGGATAATAATATCTCCATGGTTAACACGAGCCAAATCTTGGAAATCATCTTCCTTAGTAACACGTTGCTTTTCGATTCTCCAATCACACGCTTGATCTTCAATGACGTGTTTTTATTCTACAACGGGAACAATCCAATATTACAATCCAGTTGTACCATCAAAGACAGATTTTGCCATTAGTTTGTACAATTCATCTATGATTCATTTACAATGAATATCAATAATAAGCCCAATAATCCTGTTTGCGTGGCCCTTTGTACCTTCTCGGCTTTCTTCAAAGGTTTTAATGTTTGTCAATCGCTGGATGAATCAGGAGTTGAGCCCATCAATTTGAACTCAAAATCCCACATCTCAAAGACATCTTGAACTGTTTTGCTTTCCAGTTTTACGCACACGTCTATTTTTGTGCGCATCAAAACTCAAGAGTCTCTCTCTTTTTCCTTTCCACGCTGAAAATCTACTCCGTCATGGCATAACCAGATGGATTCGTCAGGCTTATTTTGCTATTACCTCGCCAGCAGACCGTGGGTTAATCCCTGCCAAATCTACCGTGACCCGAGCTGATCCGGACTTTGCCTTTTACTGGAGGAGTACCGACAAGCGACGAGGTCTGTAATCCCCACCGCGACTCGACGGGAATTAGACCGGGCCAGTACGGCGGGGCAAACGCTATGAGGCCGCCGGCCACAATCGTGACCGTACATACATGATGAAGTAAGAGTTGCCGGCAATGATTGGTAATCAAGCTTAAAATGAGTGACGAATGTATCTTTTCCCTCAAAGTCACTCCGGAGATGAAACTGAAAACTGTCGGTTATTTTTGCCTGTTTCATTCTCAACCACTGCTTGTCCGTATGTGCAGTCTTAGGTTTCGAAGCCCATCTTTCCTGATTATTTTCACGAACCACGGTACTAAAACTGGTTTCCTCAATCAAGGTCACATCTGAATTATGTTTTCACGGAGTTACAACGACGTTGCCGGCGCACCCATCGCGAAAAATGCCTGAAATTCGAATTGAATAAGTTTCGAAAACTTTTTTTTTACTGGAAAACTTAACTCTAGAATGCAGTTGCAAATTCCATGCAGCAGGCGAGGTGGAAATCTACCCCGCACTGAAAGTATTTTTGCTTAGCGAAAACAGGTGACCAACCAGTAATCGTGTCATGTAATGCATATTTCCAACGACTGGTTTCTCAGCTAATTTGGGGGTGAGCGAAATTATTACTTAAAAAGATACAGATTGCCCCGAGCGACTCGCGGGGGCCTTTATAATAGCTTCGCCGAAGCGCGCGTCTAGGTACTAAACATCAGGAGAAAAGACTGTCTGCGTGTACCACGCGCTTCGAACAGCAGCCAGTGCACAGCCAATCAAGCAACCACTTGCGCTCCCGTCAAGATGGTTCATGATACAAACCGCACGGTCGTAAAAAGCCGATAATGGATCTTTGACTTTGAGGAAGCTTCGCAGTAAACAATAAAAGTCCTTTTTCAGAAGTGAACGCTACTTGTTAAAGGAGGCGCCAACGGTCCAAAAATATTGTGCTGAAGTCAAATTTGCTCATGCCTAGGTAGCTGAAGAACCTATCGTTAGTAAATCAAAAGCTCCCAAAACATAATCATGAGTGGTTGGTGAGAGGAATGTAGAATGTAGGGGGCGTCTTGGCGCATGCGTGTTTTCAAAGGTCCGCGACTCAGTATGTTTAAAATCCATTGAACTGTAAAGGAATGTAACGCGGTAAACGGATGAGCGGGAACGAAACCAATCAGAGCACAAACATGGGTAAAGGCGCCCGAATCAATGACCAGGCTGATGTAGAATACTAAAATTGTCAAGCATGAACGATCTCTCATTTGGATGCATGCCTTTGCTTTGAGGTCTGGCCTCCTTCTTTGGGTATGGTGGCATCACTGGTTTACAGAAAAGAAGGCAGAGGAGGATCTATCTGCGAGACATATCAATGTCACCATGCATGTTTCTATCTATTAAAAATAATGTTTGAAATACATTCGCTTTGGCGCCGGCACATAAGACCTCTCAAAAAGTCCAACACAGGAGTGAAATACCTCATTGTAATTAAACATGCCTCGTGCAGATTTATTGACAGCAAACTTCAAGTCTTTTGCAATAGGAATTCGTGGCAGTAGGCAGTATTACACTGTATTTACGCTCACTAATATGAGCGTTCTTGATTTTATCATAGGTGAAGGCATCTATCAGTACCCTTTTGGTCACAAGGACAAAAATTACTGCTTGCCGCATTGAAGTATTTCTTGTCATACTGATAAGATATTAACAAGATATTCCCAGACTTATATGCTAGAAAACAAGATTATTGCACTGAATGCAGTAGATGTGTTTTGCTGTGTTCTGGTCATGATGACAACTATAGCTCTTGTCTTGTCGGACAAGATATTGACAGAATTTCACTAGAAGTGAAGCTGTCAACTGCTGTGTGGATTCAAATCACCTACCGCAACCCCGGCAAGCTCAGTGGTCGAGTGGTTAAACGTTTGTGCTGGTAAGCAGAACGTCACCGGTTCGAATCTCATCGGCGCGAATGCTTTGTTTCACAAGCTAACAGAATTAAAGTGACAAAAACGTGTCTTTCTGACAAGTGAATTCACTTAGACAATTTTAACATTACAACCATTGAGTGAATTGGCGCAATAGCTGTAAACACCACGCTGAAAAAAAGCACATTTGGTTGATCTTAACGTCACCAACATGCACAGAAAGCTTTAGTATTCATTACAGACAAGCAGAGTCATTTAGTTACATTGCCTTTGTGCTATATAAAGTCAGTCACAACTAAGTAAAAGTGGCGACTATTTAAGCCTGATCAGGGGGAGGAGATAAATCACATATAGGACCTAAACCTGGTCTCAACGAAAAAAATGATGCAGAAATCCAACCTCGCTCTGTTGACTTCGAGATGACATTGAGCAGACGCGGCGGCATAGGGCTACCGTGCGCCAGCCAGACGCCCTCCGTATCCCAGGCCGCGTGGCAAGCGGCACTCTCGTTGAAACCCGGAGTTACCCGCGGTGGTGTAGGGCTGTAAATCCCTAGCTAGTAATGCATATCGAGAGGCTAGAGCGGTAGGAGACGTGTTTCGCGGAACCGGTGGGAAGGTTCTAATGACCGAACTGATGTTTCACAAATTTTTAAAGGCGTGTTTACAGTTTCAGAGAATGGCCCAAGTTTTGATCGCCGTTCATAAACGGCGCATGCAGTGTCTGGCCAAAGGGTGTGAAGTTGGAGGAGTGAAAGCTGGGAAGCTCCTCCCTTCCATCATGTCCATTCTGCTCAGAAAATGGACCCTGGCAGAAGAGTAGGCCTGTTCGTAGTCATTGTTGTATTCGAGTCCATGTAAGTCCATTCACAAGATTTTCCAATGTGACAAAAGCATTCTTTTGTCGTTGTTCGCCCAGTTACTTAAGACTGGCCTCGTGAAGGGACTTGTGACTGGACTTGTGAAGGGCGTGAAAGGACTTGTGATGGAATCCAACACTATTCGAAGTTCACGCAACAAAACATCAGTCTGTTTAGACTATCTTTTGGGGATGGTAACATTTTGACGGCAAGCAGTTAACACCCTGAAATGACTTCAAAGCAATAGAAAACTTGACAATAAAAATCACGGAAAATTGTGGAAGAACTACACTCGAATGAGGTTGATACCACTGAACTTTTGACAGCTGGTCCAGGGGATAGGAAATTTATACACGATTTTAATAGATTTGTGAATTATATTTTGACAAAGCCCTCACAAGCTAGTGAGCAGTGGCTCTTGAAACCTTAGGATTGTCAAAGTCTGCGTGAGGCGTAGTGAGAATTATTTTTGTCAGTTTCACATTTTATACAATTTGCACTTCTCCCAGTAGCGCGCCTCCAAGAGTTTGCAACGCGTTGGCCAATCAGGATGCGCGGAATCTGTCGACCCAGTGCGCCTTTGGAAAGGGTCGACAGATTTCGCGCATAGGGATTGCCAATGCGTTCCAAACTCTTGGAGGCTCGCTGTCGTGGATCGCCCGTATTAACCGTGACAGAAACGCAGGCAACCCGTCTTTGTACTAATCGTATCTTTATCAACGGCCCCACCAAAACATTTTTCGTGTTCGTCCTGTGTCAAGCCAGGTCTGCCAAAACAAGAAACAGATTCTAAAAATATCCCTGTAACCAGCATCGATATGACGCCGAAGAATCAGCTAATTTTACGTCAGCCTGTAGCCATCTCAAGTTCCAAGACTGATACTCGAAAAGATTAACAAAACAAGAGATGAAGTCAGCAATTCTCGCTCGATAATGCATGTTTCAGGTTGAGCTCTTATGCCCGATGCATACAGCACTGGTGGAAAGGTATTGAACATGATTGTATCTTAAAGATTTACTAGGTCGAGTGCTATCGTGGATCGGTACGGCGTATCCTTGAACCGCTCTGCTCCCTAGCGTTGAGTTTAGCCACTTTGATGGGATACGGGTGGCTGGAAGTCCTCTGGTGAAGGTCAACGCACTCAGACCACTTCTTCCGAATCCGATTTATAGCCCCTGGAACACTAACCAGGTCACCAGGGCGGGAAAGGTCGCTCTGATCAAACGTGCGCGGAGTCGGCATCACTATTGAACAGCTTGCCTCTGGACAAATCTTTCTGTTGCACGCTCGCTTAAGACGATTTTCTCATTTCACTCACAATGATGTGTAGTGTCTCACTAACTTTTATATCAAAGTGAACCTAGTTGAAATCCGTCAGACTCTGTGTTCCGTAAAAACAAAGGTGTATACCTCCGTGTAAAGGCGACCGAACTTTGTATTGTGGGTTTGTTCAAAGCGTACAGAGCAAGCAATAGGAATTATCAAACAATCCGAAGTTCGTCCATGTCTTCTATGGAGGGTGCCCCTCCTTTAAATGCCTTTGACCGAGGACAACGTAAAAGACACAAATTAGTCGAAAGTTCGCAATTACACCGGCAAATCCTACATGTTTCGGATTATAAGAACACGTGAAGCGTAACCAGGGATGCAGAGTGGCAGATCGCGACGGGATGGAAATTTTAAAAGCCAAATTGGAAAGCTGATAGAACTAGAAGTAAACTGGGGCAAGGAAAATAGGTCAAGTGGGGTGAAAACTCTCTTCTGCATTGGGCAAAGAAAACCTCGGTCATGCGCAGGGATAAAAATGCATTTGTGGGAAATATTACAAGATATAAAGGCACAAGGAACTTTAACAAATATTTACGTGTTTCCTAGATGACACAAGTCAAGTCTCTCAGCTGGCGAGCAAGCACCTTTTCAAGCTTAAGTGACAAAATAGTTCAGCAAACCGTGAGTTGGAAACCCCCATAATAGCGGTTGAGTAACCGCGTGCCGCCCCGCACCCTACCGCCTTTCGCCGCGGGTGTCCCCGTCACATTAAAGCTTCCGGTCGCTTCATTTTGGGTCAAGGTTCTCGACTGACACAGGTGGAACATCATTCAAATCCTACTTCCCTCTTCACTGAAGTTCTTAAATCTATTGCTTGGAAAGAAGCTGTTACGTACTGATCTTCACCACCCTTTTCTAAATTATGGGTCTTCCTGGGTGGTTGTAGTCGTAGATAATGTAGGCATCACTGAATTCAGTGAATACAGTATACAATGTACATTTACATTATGTATACATAAGTTCTTAAGCACAATGTAATGCCGGTTGCATTGCTTAACTTAAGTCCATCCCGCATCTAGTCGTAATTCAAACTGTAATTGTTTAATCTGATGTTAATACTTGTTCACGGTCTCAACTACTCCTGCAACAACGACTACAGTTAATTCGCAATGAGATCGTTTTGTCTTTTATAGCGACTGTATCCTTGACATTATAACCAACGTGATGTGCAATGAATGAATGTGAATGAATGAATGATGCGCAATGAACGTACTTCAACGTCTACAAGCAAGCGAGACTACGTGACAAAGTATAGGCCTATTAATGAGTGATATATTTACAATCGGATAGTTTTTCCTAAAATGATTAAAGTGACAGTGTAATTCATCAAAATAGGATGTTTGGTTACCTAACAGACGAAAATATAAGTACAGTAATCACCTTCGTAGCAGCCGGACGAGGCGTCGTCGCCGCCGTCGAGCGCGCCGTTTTGCCCGCCCGTGTCGCCAAGCGAAGACGTGTCGCTGAAGTCCACGTGCTCCAAGTTGAGCAGGTGCGACACGGAGAAGCTCCGTGCGGCTGCAGCGGCCGCCGTCTGGTGGTGATGGTGGTGGTGGTGGTGGGGATGTGCGTGCACCTCCAGAGCGTGATCCGAGAGTACGGTCTGCTGCACCGGGCTGTCGTAGTCCGTCATGGACAGGCTGTCACTGCGGTCCATATCTGGTCGTCGAATTCAGGGCTCCTTCCTGCTCCAAATATTCAATTCTATCAGGTACGTACTCCCGTGGTTAAGCTGTGCACGGGTGTTTTACAAGCCGCAGTGCTGAAAGCAACACGAACTGTCAACTGTGATTTTCGTGAACAGTATAAACTCTCGCGTGAAGTTTTCGCCAATTCGGTTGGCACTTGATCATCCATTAAAAAGAAAATTCTTGGGTAAGGGCCTGAACTCAGTAAAAAGTTCAAGAAGATTTCAAAACAAGCAAATGTATCCTGTTGGAGCAATTTTTCTTGGCTTGAGCTGCTCCTTTGAGTGTTATCTTGCAGAACTTGATCCTCGCGTCCCTGAGAAAAATCACTCGTCTTCTCGACAACCTGATGTTGTATATTACACCCAGTTTAAAAAATAATGTAGCCTACTTGTTTATTTGTTTCCCTTTACCCAGATGCCTTCCTCTAAATAGAAGCCAACGTCGGTTTCTGAGTTGCACAAATCCAGTTACAGTGGTCGGTCCCACGTTGACAGACCGTCATGTATAAAACGCAGGGCACTAGCACCGCTCTGAAACGGTCCTTTATATGCAGCTTCACCGACAATGATATTAAGTGCTCGTCTCCAGCTCTGACCTCCATACAGCGAAGTGCAACCTGGTAATTTGTCCAGCTGGTTCGACCGTCTCGCTTTAAATAGAAAAAAAATATCGAGTAAAAAATCCGGCTAGAACACATTAGTAGTGATCCTTAACCAAGAGAACACCAAATAGATTTGTTGGTGGTGATCATTCTTTCAACTTCAAGGGGCCCTCGAAATCTGTCCGTGGCTGTACACAAAGTCGTCGCACTTTGCATAGTGCACTATAGTGTGCGCGCCCGTTTTTCCCTCACTCGCACATCACCCCCTCTGGTTGGCCAGTCCTTTGCTAATATGCTAATCAGCACGCCGCCTCTCCACCAATGAGAATCGAATTAGACAGCTTTGGGCAGGGCCACGCGCTGTCGGTTGCACATTGTCTGAACCTATTAGCTGCAAACACCTTAACGTCTACATCAAGTAATGAAATTACGACATGGTCCCCCGAGCTTTCCAAACAGAAATATACCCTCCCCCCCAAATCATTACACCGCAACAGTCGAGTCTAACACTGACGGACTTTATCGGCACTTCCACTAAACCAACGGTGTTTGAGACGGCCTTATGTAATCATGTCACCAACAGGCAAGCTCCGGCGGGAAAGCCCACTCGAAATCCCTCTTTGAAAGCTTGGAACATAATCAAATTTGCATTTTGCTGAATCATTTTTATGTGATCTTGGTGAAGAAATGGGAAAGTATTCACTGGATATGGTTAGGATTTGATTCGATTCCGAGTTTCAAAATGTACATGTACTTTTTAAAGTAAAAATAGGCATTAAGCTGTCAAAAAGTGACATAGCCCCTCCAAAGACTAATCCAATTCGATGCCATACCTGCTGTGGCACCGCACTCACACGCACATTCTTCAGATTTACGCGCACTTGCATTTTGCAAATCACGACACCCTTTTGGTCGAAGGGGCATGCAACGTGCGCGTACCACCTGTCCACGAGCGTCCTACCACCGAAGCAATGGCTTCTAATTTACACAATGCACACACCCGCAAACACTCCATAAAAAGAACAAGAACGAGAAAAAGTGCAGTTTAAACGCATGTAGGAAAACAAACATGTAAACCAACCAATCAAGTGAAACCAAGCTTTCAAGCCTACATCCTTTTTTGGTCAAAAACCTGTCAGAGCAATAAAAAAAATTGCCCTCTTTTGTAAAAGATCAACTCATAATGCACGAAATTTATGATTTGCATATTTCACTTTTTCCATTAATGATGCACGTCCCGTCAGACTGTAAGTTCCTTAGAGGTATATCACGCAAGAGGCTGGTCGATATTATGTTGTACTCTTCGCAGAATCTCTTAATCAATGGGTTGCGTGACTGAAGGTGAACCGAGGGCCAAAATGATGAGTGGATAGCGAATGCCCACACACACCCTCTTGAGTGAAGGCTACAGTATGCAAATGCGCGCGTACAGCCTACAGGTTTGGCATGTGGCCTTTCCGTTATGATGTTCTATGGCATGTACGTGATTCAGTCAGCCGTGTCCATCCCCCCACGCCGCCCTTATCTGGGCAGCTATTTCGGGACGCACGACGTAATTTTTTCAGGCACTAACTGGACAGAATTCACTGAACAATAACACGGACCTGCACTTGACACATGCGCACTGAATGTACATGTATTCGTTGATCGGGGTAGGAGGTGGTCCACAATGCTTTGCCGATCTGTAGCCGTTACATTATTTTCTTCATGTGTCCTCCCGAGCGCCCTGTAAGGGCGGGACGTGCGAATATCGGCCAGCATGAATGAGACGCCAAAATGATGATAGTGCACTCTTGTGGCGCGTGCCAGGCGCGGTAATTCGGCCTAATCGCATAATACCCTTCAAGTATAATACAGCGTGTCCACCGGATATTAGTAAGGCATGAATAGTGGCCAAGCGTCGCTTTGAATTGTTCGCAAACTGTGCGCCATTTATTTGCGCCAACATTCGTCAGTCAGCGACTTCCCGGAGGGGGGGGGGGATTTTTGCAAACACGAAAGTGTGAAGGCTGTCTTCAACGGAACTCGGCAGTGAGAAGTAAAGTGCAGTTCGTTGTGTGTTTTCTCTTTTGCAGATTTTTACATTGACTGATTCTGAATTTTCAAAGAAAGTTTCAAAAATTCACCCCAAATTGTAAAAACCGTGAAACAATCGAGTTTCTGAAAGTGTCATCGCGCCCCTAAAAAATCCACCAATGCAGAAAATAATTGTGTTTCTCTAGACTTTTATTGGGTCAACTTGACCAAATATTAACAGTCTCTGGAACAGAAATGTTAAAAAAGTGACTGACTCTTTTTCAAAGTCGTTCCCCTTGCAGGATTAGATTTTGATTTTTATTGCTGATTTACATAAATATGAACTCACATTAAATAAAACGTGTACATCTGCAGCCCCGCTCTCGAATTTTTATGTTTTTTGTTTTTTTGTTGGAAGCGGCTGTCTGACATCCTTCCCTCTCTCGGAGTAAGTCAAAGATGCTGTAGCTCGGTGAAGCAGCGCGACGATAGGACAGTGCCTATCTCTTTTCATAGAGCACGATGGAACCGCGATGACGTCATAATTTCAATTCGGTCCACGGGGAAGGGCACCGCTCATGTTGGGTAGGTTAACACCTATGTAGGCCGCACTGGTTGTAAGGGGAGAGTGGACATTTGAGCAACTTTTATTCAATTAAAAATTTCTTTTCCAAAATTGTACGAAACCATCTACCATTGAGGTGAATGAGTAAATAAATTGCTATATTATAGAATTGATAATATGCGGAAAGAGGAGTCTAATCCTCAAAGACTCCCCCTTTTCAGGTCTCTCCCAACCGGGGCGTATTTGACCCCACCCCCATCACGAGTAAACAAGGACGGATTTTAATTGAATACGGCAATTTAGTATTTTCTGCTGACGACAATTTCCGACAAAGTCAGAGAGGCCCGCAAAAAAAACAAGCAAAAATCATTGGGACGCTATCGCTAAAAATTCTAGTAATTTCTTCAGATATTGTAATTTTTATTCAAGATTTGGCTCAGATTGTCTTGCTTGTCAAAATATAGGCCCATGTAAGCCTCACTTATATTTTAAACCAGCGACACTGATGAGCTATACAATTTTTTTCATATTTTTGATTATGCAAGGTTTACATAGACAATCAATGGGAAACAGAGAGATGTCAGTTACCCTGGGAGTAATTTACCAAAAATATTCGCACCACGCTACAATATCGCCCGATGCTAACATCCGTATACACATCTGTCCCAGAAAATACACAAACTTTCTCGAAACAAAATTTTATTTTCGGACTTCTCTCGCCTGTATTTGTTTCTCAGGAGATGGTAAAAAGAGTTTGGGGAGTTTTTCTTTTATTATTGGTGCGATTTATGGTGGAGACCCCCATGCTTGCTTTTGTTTTCCATAGACGCGTTGCGGTTGGGCGAAAGTTTTCTCATGCCCAATAAAAGCGGCGCCCTACACCATGAACAGCCATCAGAAAACCCATTACACGCATTATACTTTTTGGCGACTGTCCAATCAAAAATTGAAAGAGGGCGGCAGGTAGTCTTCACAACGGTAGTTTGGGAAGGGTGCGTGTGTTCTCAGATGTTTAAAATTTTACAAATTTATGGAAACAGACGGTGTCGTCATTCAATAATTTGTGTCAGAGATGTTTAGAGAGGGTCGCAACATGAGTGTCTCCTCAATTGATGGAACCAAACGTGAAAGGGTGGATTATGTGTGAGTGCTCGTGGACAATTAGCACATACTGTGAACATTATTCGTGTAAAACGAACTTAAACTCGGTCTGCAGCCGCGGTTTTGAAGTCAGTGAAGTTGGATGCATGCCTTCGCAGGCATGGTTCAATGAAATCTGCCCGAATTGCTCAGGTTATGTAAACCGCGAACTTAAGTTCAACGGTGTTAATTTAAATGCAGTAGTTTCGGTTTTGTCATTAATGAGAGGTTAATTCTTACTTGAAGTTCAACTGCAGTATAATGTATCATTTGTGAAGGACACTTTTGGGGTCCTCAAGCAAAACACGAAGAAAATAAGAATTTAAGGGCTGACCCTTATCTTAGCCCAAGCTGCCGCAGTCCCCATTCAGTAGAAAGCTTTCTAACAAGCATACAACAAAACTACACAATTTTCTGCGAATTTCTCAGCAATCAATCAGGACTCGGTTCCGATTTCCTTACAACGACTGAGGGCGCCGTGCATAATTGTAAATGTCTGGTAACCTGCGAAATATGGTCGAGTTATGGCTGCTAGCTGGTGGGCACTTACGTATCTGAGAAAATCAAAGTTCGCAAACGTCCTGTCGAGACGTCTGCTTCGTTTTGAGCACTCGAAAATAAAACAGTAATTTCTTGTGATGTGAAAGTTGGAAATAAATTATTTCTGTGCAAGGTATGTATTCAGATACTTTCTGTTCTATGTTTGGTGATTTTGTAAATTTTTATTCTTCATTAAATGCTTGAAAGTACTCCAATGAAAAAAAATTCAAACTGGTCCCCCAAACACGTCGAAAAACAAAAATACGCGCGAACTTTTGATTTCTTTTCCAGGCAGCGTAACGTATGCTTGCTCGTGTCCAGCTGCATTGTTAACATGCACTTTGATTTTTCGCCTCAGTTCCTTGCTAGAGCAATTTTTTGCTTTAAATTGTGTTATATGTGAAATTCATCAAGCTCTCAACATTCCCGTTTGTAACTTTTTTGAGTTTAGGGCTAGTCCAGGTTGGACGTTGCCTTCATTTCATTATAACTAACAGGGAGTCCACCTGGGCTAAGTTAAGGGCTAACGTTGGGTCTATGTTAAACGTTAAACATAGGCCTATCTCGTTTGCTACTAAAATAAAGTTCCAAATGAACAATGAAATTTATTTTTAGTCTGATTTTGTGATTTTGTTTTTGAAGTGCACAAAGAACACTTTAATTTTAAATGCTAACAAAAATAAGAAAATTTTGGTACATGGTAGCCTACAGACTTGTTAGTGGATGTAGGCCTAGGCATACATGTACCCGATGTAGTAGTACCCCTACAGTTTTGGGGGGTACCCCCAGAACTGTGGGATCCGACATCTGCCCCGGACCCCACATTTCGGGGGGTAGCTTTGGGGTAGGTTAGTACATGTGGGAAACAGGTTGACTTGTACCTTGGACAACTCATACCATCAGCTCATAACTGTACCAACTTGTACCTATGCCAAGTCACACGTGGACAACTCGTACCTCCAGTAAAGACAACTCATGTGGACCAGGGGGATGATTTATGATGTTTCCTGGGGGGAAATGTTGCAATGCACCATGTTAAGGACTCAACTAACTAAGTGAAATCAACCTTAAAAATGATTCACCATTTTTGCGCTAGTCTTGCAAATCAAAGAGTCACAATGTTTTCCAAACAACAGGAATGGAATCAGTTCTGACGTGCATGCAGTCACACAGCCCCACAAAATCAGGGACCAGTAGTTCTGGATATTGTGAAATCACTGTTATTTGAGTACATGTCCATGTATATTGTATATGTGTATGCAGAGCTTTGACGGGCTTCAGAGTGACCTTTTGACAGTAACCTTTAGCAAATTTATGATTCGTGTTTGAAAAATCAGCAGTCATTAGGGGAGGGGTGTCCAGAATAGCAATGGCATACAACTTTAATAATTTTGAACACAAACACCTTAGTATGGGAATCAACCTTTTAGTTGATAAACATTTAGAACAACCCTCCCAAACCGTTTAAATGTGAAGCCAGTACTTTACAGAGGCTTGCCACCGCTACTTCAGTGTTTTAATGCACACGCATGTAATTCATTCACAATGCACATGATCAATCCAGTTAACCCCTTCGCGCCGGGAAGTGGCTATAGCTGCCGTAAAAATTGAGATCATCAGCCTGCTTTTCAGCTATTATTCTCGGCCCATGCTCGAGCGAACACGATGAAAGAAGGCAGACCCTGGCTCTTGTATATATGGTAATTGGTCTTTGTGCGTAGCCCAGAAATGAAAAGACCGAATTTGCATCATAATCACTAGCTTCACAATAGTCCCCACTTTGAAAAGAGGCAACGGGAATGTGGAAGGGTGAGTAGAGCCGCATGCCACCGAACAATCAGCCTTTTCACCGTGTAATTCAAAGCGTGCAGAGCACGCAGGGCCACAAACTGAGAATTTGCAGTTTGGCAGGTGACTTTCGTGGCCAAGCGAGGCTGGAATTCTTGGAGTCTGCTTTCGGGAAGAAATTCCCGTCGTCAAGGGGTTAATAAATATAGATCTGTGTTAGTGAGCATTCAGAATAAACAATTTTTCTCGTTTAAAATTCAAATTTACCCTATGAAAGGGGATGGACGCCGAAAGGAACAACATCACTGTGGTGGAATACATGTGCATTTATTTGGACATTTGAAAATGAATGTCAGCTCACATTACTCAAACCTGGAAAATCTGCAAATGTTTACTTAAACTTTTTTCATTTAAACATGTAGACGTCACACCCTTAATTTCATTATTTTTTGCCACAAATCTACACATTTAGCAAGTTTGCTACATAGAGGTTAGGTGTTAACGCATCCTCAGAGGGCAATAGTTTGGCATTACTGGGATAGGTTCAGGTAAAACTTTTGTACATTGGTTGTAACTGAGTTAAAATTAACCAAAAACGCCTCTGAGACACCATGGAGACGCTAGCAACATATAACCTGTGTTCCGTTTCTCAGTTACCTCATTTACTGAGAGCAAATACATAAAGATACCCTAGCTAACTAGTCAATTCACATAATTAGTGAATGTTAGTATTTGATGCCCTAAATAGGCCTTGCAGTAGTATGAACTCTTGACACAGATGTGGTTTGAATCAGGTTTACGCAGTGACGCTGACTTTTTTCCTCCTAGCAACTCATACTTTGTCCCCAGAAGCTACAGTAATGGACGAACCACCACCAACTCACCCGTCGTGCACTTCTATGCTGAAACGATCCTACATCGACAATGGGGAGGCTCGACTTGAAGCGCCAAGGGTCAAGAGGCCGAAGGTCAAGGCCCATAATTGCAACGGTCAAAACATCACTCTGGGATCTAGTTCGACCCTCGAGTGTGCTTCAAGTTCGACCGTGAATGCAAACTTCGCAAGAGGTACTTGCTCAAGTTGGTGTAACTGAATCAGTTGCTGAATGTACATGTAGGTCGTTTATGAGGAATTTGTACACGGCAGAGTGCATCAGTTTCCTTTTGTAGTTTGGACAGTCATGCATTATTTATCCCAAATGACCGTTAAGAAATGTCATTCTTTTATACTGAAGCCACCTCAAATTCATCAAACTTCACACCCAGGCTCTGCATTATTTTGAAAAATCAAGGACAGCACAGGCAAGGAAATACTACTCTACACAGATTGTTTTAACTTTGTTAAAATTCTAAAGCAATTATAACATTATGAAAGACTGTTGTACTGTACAGATATGTTGTTGGGTTTTGGAGGATTCAGGAAGCTTTCGAAAATGCTCTGGTCATTTTATTGGAGGCAAGAAATTTACACTGTGAGAAATACATGTATAAACTGACTTGTTCTCTGTTTGTTACATACAGTAGGAAGACTAATGGCTAGTCCAAAAGGTAAAAGGTGCCCCTTCCAGTCTCAGAAAAAACTTGCATTAATAGTTTTAAACTGTTCATTAACCCTAACTTCTTAGGCACTCTTGCCCGAGTCCTCCAAAAATCTTCCCCTGTTTTGTATAAATCCACCGACATCTTTCAAGGAGCATCAAATTAAATTCAATGTAATAGTAACTGGGTTCTGTTGTTCCTCACCCTACAAAATCCTCCAATAATTTCAGAAATTGGGGGCAATTGTTTCATGTCGCCGTTACATCTGACATTTTCTAATCTCCAAGCGTGATGAATTAATGCAAATTACCTGCCAAGCAAATAGTAATAGTTTGAAAACAATTCCGGTGGTATTTCCATGTCAAATAACAAAGGTTAGATGTAACAGGGACATGGAAATGTCACACTTTTGGACCCCTAAATCTAATTTCTGGAATTAAACCTGTGGTAGTAAGGTCCAGTAGGTTGTATGCTCTCTTACAAGTTTCTGTATGTCGTTTCTGTACAGGTCAACTGAAGTTAGCTGTGTATTGGAGTCAGACGCATCTCTTAGTCCATGGTGAGTGAAGGGTTTTGTGTATGGTCATACTTTTGATATGTGTACATTGACAATGCTTAATTACATTGGTTAAGGGAAGCACCCATTGTAACAATTAACATATCTTTTAGTGATTTAACCCTAACACTCCTCAATCCTCCAACAGGTGAAGGATTGAGGAGGGTTAGGGTTAATCTAATAAGTTTAATTCAGTACAAGTTTGTGGAATGTTTGTGTTTGCTGGGCAAGGTATCACGGTAAACAAGAAACAAATACATGACAACAGATAAATACTTCAGACACGATTCCATCAGTTGTTGGGCAAATTTACATCTTGGTTTTCTAGTGGGACCTGGATGCACGAGCTGTGTTGTTAAGAAGGCATATTTGTTTAGCCAGGCAGGTCACTCTAAATGAACGGTGCATTGATGGCTATGCTTCAGTCATTTCCTGTATTCTTTTTTTGTTTTCACCGTGCAGTGTTTGGTGCGAGGCAACTCCGTTTAAAGAATGACATTGATTGCCAGTTGTTCATTCGGGTAGGCAAACTGTTTACCTAAGATCGTGTTCCTATACAGTTTCTCTGAAAAAAAATGTAATTAAAAAAGCAGAGAGAGAAATAAAGGGAGAGAAACAGAAAAAAAGTGATGTTCGTATCATAAAATGTCACAACAAATTTGGCAGTAAGTTGTACAATCCCTATTCATGCTTTACTTGCAAGAGTGCCACAGCACAGTCTGTGAAATCTTTCTCAATTGTACCATCTTGTATGAAAGTTGATCTCAAAGTTCTAGCAAGGCCGACTCCCGTCTGACAAAGTTCTTAACTTTTCGATATTTGGAACTTGATAACGATTAAAAAAATGAAGCCATTTGTGTGTGATAGAGATTGCAGTCATCACCTCAGTGTTCAAGGCCATGCAGGTTGACTTGACTTGACCTGTGTCATTTGATTTTGCAGCTCTCAATAATCGCATCTGATGGCTCTGAAACCTTTGTTCAGAGGACAAACACGATTCACAATAACGGCCAGCTGGATTTTAATGAAACTGTGACATTGTAAGTCAAACTTTAGAATTACAATTAACAAGAGGACGTACTTCCTTATGAGTCTGAGTACAAGTGCCAGGAATACTTTAGGATGCACTTTTGTGTTGGAGAGATGTTCATTTTAATTAGGCCTACAGATTTTGTCCTCACACCGGCGTATATTCATAAACACTGTGTACTCAGTGCTTATCCGAATTTTTTCATAAGCTCTCGGACAAGCACCAAGTGTGCAGTATTTATGACTATAGATGCTGGTGTGAAGGCAAAACCTGTTATTAAAATTGCCGAGAATACATTCCCAGGAAAGTTTTTAGAGATGCATTCTTCTTGCATGTGCTTTGAAATTTAATTTCTCAACAGTTGGTAGAACTACATGTATGTCCAGTGAAATGCACTCTTTGGAAAGCTATGCTTTGCTTTGTTTCCATCTTGGCGTTGTATTTTACATTGATCATTGTTGAGTAAGCATGGATTGGGATAAACTTCATTTCTAAACCTTTTGGACATGTGGCCTAGTGGTTAGGGTTTGTAGCTTCTGATCATAGGGTCAGGGGTTCGAATCCAGCTAGTGGCAGCATGTTGTGATCATGGGCAAGTCACTCTACCCCGATGTGCCTCTCTCCACCCAGGAGTAAATGGGTACCAGTGAGGGCAGACACGGTTATGTTTAGCCGCTTGCGTCAAAATGGAAGCATCAGCCTAGTATACTCTGCAGAGAGCTGAGATAGTTTCAGGAATGTTCATAAGATGTGTGAGCCCAGTGTACTGGAATAATGATTATAAGTACATGGAAACATTCCGTAATATGCGCTATATAAGAACCAACTATTATTATTATTTAGGTTTTTGACTTTAATTTTTTGAGGAGATTTTGTGAGTATACACACGTACATGTAAGGCAAAAAACTGTCACTTGTTTTCTTACATTAAGTGATATTACTGTAAAATGTGTAAGTTACTTTTTTGTTAATGTTACTAGTCTTAATAGCAGAGTATTATATTTCTTGAATGCCACAGGTGTTTCATTCTACCGTACTCTTTTGTTTGTTGAAAATAACATTTATACATATATTTCTGTTGTTAGCCACAGGGACGCATTTCGCTCCACCAACTCAAGACTTCTTGTCACTGCCTACAGCCAGACCTCAACAAGGTACGACAAGGCCAAGGAGAGAATGAACCTTTTTTTTTTTGCATTAAGCATTTTGTATTCCATGGCGAGAAGCCAGTAACAAGTTGGTCCCTATTTTCAGGGACAAAAATCTCGCCAGAGAGTTAAAAACAACGTTTTGAGAAAATCACATTGGAAGTTGGTCGCTTGTTTGAAGGCATAGTTCCCCAGTATTTGGCATGCCTTTGACTTAACCAATGTTACTGTATGAAAGAAGGGGTTGTAAATGGCACAGAACTACAGAATAATTTTTTTAGATATCAATTAAAATTGTTTATTTTGTCAACATGCACTTTTATCTGTTCATGAAAACACCAACATATTGGTGACTTCCGTCCCTGTGAAAATGGAGTGCACAGTACACGCTTTTGCCGTCCCTGTGCCAGGTGCAAAAATGGTACACTTGTTCACATTTCTAGAGTTAACTTTATCTCTTCATGAAAACAGTTAACAAGTTTGGCCCCATTAATTTGCCCATTATTGCCACGGCTGTACCGGTAAACGACAACTTTGTCTCTTTGTGAAGTGAAATTGCAGGTTGGCTGAACTTTGCTCCACACTGATAATCGTGATCTGGTTAATTTCAATAGAATTGGTAAAAAATTATTAAACAAAGTTAGACTCGTTGATTTTTCGTAAACAGAAATTTGACAATAAGATTGGAAAATGCCCCTCCCACAGCTGAAGGAGAAAAGGAGAAATGCACTTTATTCTTGTTCTGTTGCATGTTAAGATATTTTTTCTAATGAAAAGAAGCTAAATATTACAACTGTAAAGTACTGGAGTCTTTCTAATCTATTTGAAATGTTTTCTGTTTGGTTAGAGTTGAACATCTTGGCTGTATGTCATTTGGAATTGTCCGTCTCCTGAATGGAAACAAGGTAAGACTTTCGACTTGGAAACTTTTGCTTATGAAATTCTCTTGTGCTCAGCCATTGAACATGCTTTGTCAGTGTTGCATATCTGCCAATTGTAGCTTACTTGCCACTTATGGTCTTTCTGCAATCTATGGTTTGATACCACCTATGGTTTTCTTGCCTTATGTGGTCTTGTACCACCCATGGCATTCTTGCCTCCTGTGACCTATGGTCTCCTTGCATTGTGTGGTCTTTCTGTTACCTATGGTCTTCTTGCCTCCTGTGGGCTATCTGCCACCTATGGTCTTTTTGTCCTCTGTGGTCCTTCTGACGCCTGTGGTCTTCCTGTCTCCTGTGGTCTTTCAGCTACCTGTGATCTTCTTGCCTCCTGTGGTCTTTTTGACGCCTATGGTGTTGCTGCCTGTGGTCTTTTTGCCGCCTATGGTCTTCTTTTCTTCTGTGGCCTTTCTGCCATGTATTGTTATGCCCCCTGTCTCCCTACAATCCTTTAGAACATCTACTCGAGCCCAAAACCTTTGGTTCTCTGTTACGTGTGGCATATCTGCCCGGCCCATATGAGCTCTCCACCACTTATTTGTAGCCTGTCTGTCTGCCTATGGCATTACCCCTGCTGTCTCTGTTCAAACCTTGATGATCTTTTCTCACATACAACCTTTGACCTTTTTGCTGTCTCCAGACATTTGTCCCTCGGCTGTCATTTTCCCTCCCTGACCTATCTGCTCTGCTTTCTTTGCTTCATTCGCTCCTCTGTTTCCAGCCAACAATCTTTTTCCTGGTTACATGTTTTCCCATAGCACTGTACAGCTCACATGTGCCTCCTGTCCGTAGGCTCTCCCCAGTGACCTGTGGATTTTTTCCCCTGATGCATGGTGTTTCTTACCGTGCTGAAACCCTCAACCAGTAAAGCAATTAGATGGGACCTGTTTTGAAAATCTGCTTACCACAGAATTCTTTGCTTACCGCACTTGGACATTAATTCTGTGCTGCACCTAGGAAGCACAGAATCCTAAGTACTGGGATATACAGTACATTGTAAGTGAAAGTTAACACTGGGAACAGGAATTGGAAATGTTGTGACAAGAATTCACATTTTGCTAGGTCTGAAAATATTTTCCCACTTACGTGAAAAGTTTTGAAAAATGTATTCCCACTTGTATGGAACTATTTCCCGCGTGTGTTAAGAGACATGAAAATAGTTTTCCACATGTGTGAAAAGGCTTGGAATTTTTTTTTTCACTGTGGGAAATTTTTTTCACAATTTGTGAAATAAAAAGAAATGAGTAATAAGTAAAGAAAAATAGAAAACAACGGTGAAAAGAATTCTCTGTGCTAACCTCAAGTTTCAACTGCAGTGTACTTGATGTGTATACCTAAGCCATAATTCTCTGTCGAACTTTGACATATGCTAAGAGTTGGAGTAATATACCCTGCTACACTAAGCAGAAAAAATTTACTTACGGTATGAGCGAAGCCATGAAATTGTGCTAGGGTCCCTACCATCTGTGATTCACTCACTGGAGTCACGTGACAGGAACAACCTGAAATGAACAGGCTGACTCACCCCACAGAGCACTGTGTGTGCCCTGGTACTAACGCCCTGCACCTCAGGGGCATGCCTCCCTGACTGTCATTTCTTACGTAGGGCTTACTTTCACTCAAATGATGTCTGTTGCGTATTTTTTCACTCCAAACTGTTTAGAAACTTGTGCGCTCTACAATGCAGGCACAACCGTACATTACTTATAGTTGGAGAAAGTAGCTAGCCAGTCTCTGTGACTTAACCAGTACGCAGGTCTCGGGAAACAAAATCTAAACCAGTGATAAGACTGGTAAACCTTCTTAAGCCTATTTTCTGAAGCTATATGAGGAAAATAGCCAGCAGTTCCTGGCTCGTGGTTGATCTCTTGTTTTTTCTCTGACAGGAAGTGAATGGTTGGTACCATCTTCTCAGCAAAAAGCGAGGCCGAGTGAAACACTTAGCAGTCAAGGGTAGCAAAGGCGGGCAAGTCGAGGCTAGTGGAACCGAGGTACAGACGGCGGATGAAGACATGATCAGGCCCAATAGCATTCTGCCCTGGATTTCCCTACACTATGTGAGTCACTCTCTATGTTTCACAAACAAGTTTGTACACATGAAGAAACCAGGTGATTACACTTATTGACAGCTGTGGTGTGGGATATGATGTTTTAACACCCAAGAGGCTCATATCACTCGAGGTTTCCCCCGAGTAAAATCTTAAGTATAGATATGATGTAGAATCTCAGTGACAGAATCTGATGGTGACAAAGTGCTCTGCCAACAGCTGATGATGATCATATAACATGTATGCCAGTACACTGATCCCATCTCAAGTTTACTATTATCAAATTGCACAGTTGAAAGTGGCACAGGTACCAGTGAATGCAATTAGTCTGGTTGGCAGTCCCTGCATTTTGGTTTGGACTGTTGGGCAGGGGCTAGTCTGTGTGTGATATGCTGTGACATATTTATGCACAAGAATGAGAGTAATATGCCTTTTTATTGACCAATCAGTTAATTGTTCTGGGCCAACGGAAGTGCATTTTTCAAGACTAAATTATGAGATGCGCTGGCAAAAAATGAGATCGAATCCATCAGATCTGACAGAAGGAGACAGAACAGGAGAGAGTGTGAAATGAGCCTTTGCTAGTGTTAAGAACGAGAGTGGAAATTCTTCATTTTCTATTGAAAAAGGCTTGTTAGCTCTGGACTAGAGCTGTATACAGACAGTTGCAGCTCAAGGTCCTGCATGCTGTGCCCAAACTAGTGGATTGTGCATGGGGTTAGGCTATCCAGTGTACATTCTGTGAAGTTAATACGTCATCCTGCCTGGATCGTCACTGTCTCAGACAACATTCTTGCAATCTGTTGGGCTCTGATTAATAAACGGTAATGACCACCTGTCTCATTGTGTTTTCCAAATTATTGTTCCCCTCCTCTTAATTCACAGTTTGACATTGAAAGAGACAGCCAGGGAAAATATGGCTTCACCATTCTGGACACTGTACCGGTCAGAATAGGCACAGTCCACAAAGGTAAGCTTTTCCACGAAGGTACTCATAATGAATGTTTCCCTAATGACGTACATGTATGTGCAGCACATTCAATAACGAGAGATTGGACGAGGTCGCTGAGGTTTCCAGGTATGCAGTGTTGCTGTGGTCTTTAACAATGCTCGATTGACATTTACTTTTGTTGTAGTTCAATTTTCTTTGTCATTACAATAATGAGAGATTGGACGAGGTCATTGAGGTCGGCAGGTATGCAGTGCTGATATGGTCTTTAGCAATGCTTATTGACAAGTTGGTAAAGAAATTAAACCCAAATTCGTGAACGCCTTAGACATTTCCCATAATCAACACCGCACAATGTGACCGTGTATTCACATTTGACAAGGCCTGCTGCGATTTGATAGGTAACCTTATCGTACATTGACTTTTTCTTGGCTCTTTGACTAAAACGGTACGCCATTCATAAATGGGAATAAATATATGCTTTGAAAATAAGTGCTGATAATGCCCTTACCTGTGGCCCGGGCATTAGTGGCGTCCCCTGAGCCTGTCGTAAACACACGCTTAAAACCAGCCAAGCACATGTTGATTCCCGTAGTAAAATAGGTTCTAATTACATTTATTGGTTTGATTAATTAGTTGTCATTTTGAACATTAAAATGAAAGCAATGTATCTACCTCATTTCTTGGCAGAACTTTCACTTGGTCTGCCATATTGGATATTTTAACATTAACACGAATAAACATAAGTTTCTATTGTTGTTAATATGAAGTCCATGCATCTCTACTTTTGATCATTAATCAGGTACAACAGAGGAGAGTTGATTTTAATGTTTAATAAGGTTATTGACCATGTTAGCTTTCAACTTTAACACAGATCTGTCAGGATTTGAGTCGGAATAATGCACGACTTTTAAGCAGTGGAAACTTTCATTCAAAATGTAGAAATTAAAATTTCTAAAAGGATATATGCAATCACAAGTTAGTTAAGTTCAGAATAAATGTGAGCAAAATATAGTTATTACCTTTATTGGCAAAAGACACAAAATTATGATGAGGGCTTTGATGATGCATAGGTGGTTTGGAGTGTCCTATGGAGTTCCTGAGACCTGACATTGAGGGTGCTCAGTTGAATTTAAATAACCTGAAGGGGGGGAACTAAATAAATAATAACTGTATATTTGGTCCAATATAATGTCAATAATCTTAGAATTACAGAATCATTTCTGGGGCTGATTTACTGACCTGGCTCTGGCTTTTCATTGTGGTTAGGTAAACAGGGAAAAGAAAGCCATAGCCAAAAATACCTGATTTAGACACAGCTTCTAACACTGGTACCTTTCTAGGCATGAGTTTATTGCACAGAGGAATGACAACTGAAATCATGTTGTGGACATATGATGATATGGGAAGGCCATTTAACAAAGACAACATAGAGACCAAAATGACACCAGTCACAAAATCTTCAAAGTGATGCAACAAAACCAACAGTTTAAAATCCATGCTTTATTTGGATGCCATCTGCCCTGCAGATACACAGTGTACATGTATTTATTTTAAATACACAAAACAGCAATGTCTTGAAAACTACTTATTTTTGTACCAAGCATTAAGGTTATGTTAGCCCTAACCCTCCATGCTCTTGCATTAGGGAGCATACTGAACCCAACAAACTTCAACAGATACATGTCCATGCAGGACACCGCACCAAACCTGATAAACTTCAACTGAATGAGCCCACTGGAGTTCGAGTGATATGGTGTGGATAGGTCTTGGTACACACAAGTTCAACACTTGGTACAGCAGGCCAGACACTGCACACGACCCCTGTGTGTCCCAACTCACACAAAATCCAAACTCTGTCACCCCTAAGCCTCTGATACCAAGTCCAACAAAATTCAAGAAGAAGTTGATCGGGTATGGTACCAAACCTGCCAAAACCTGTAGCAAAACCTACTGTTGGAGTTTGATGGATAAAGTGCCCTTAAAGGAATCTTGTACAATAGAAACCAATGGGAACCTTAAATCTTCTTTTGACCACTGATGTCGTGTTCATTTTCATCAGGATGCCAAACTGAGGTGTGCATCAAAACTTTCCCTTTCTAATGCAAACTGAAACAAAATGACTGGGATGCCTTCATAAATAAACGGGGCGTGCTCTCTCTAGTCAGTGAACCTGCCTGTTGGGCTGTGCAGAGTAAAGAGAATCTGCTGGATAAACTTTTAGTGAAACTTGCCCAAGGATGTCATTCAAACGTTTAGCCGATTCCTTAATCAACACTAAAGAAACGCAATATGCAAAAGGTTCTTGACCACACAGGCTATTACAGACATCAAACATAAACTGTACAGATTGTATATAACATTTAACCTCAAATAATTGTTATCATCATAACTACTTTTATCATTTCCACAAAAGGACCTGTGCTGTGTACTGACAAATGTATAATTTTAATTTAAAAGTGGCCCTCACCAGTGGAAAATTAGCTGATTTCAAGCAAAATTACTGGTACATGCACCATCTTTTCTGTCATATTTCATTTGTGAAATGTTTTGTGCTTATAAATCTGCGTTACAAGATAACGTTCAATATTTTAAAAAATTCTTTCGTGCTCCTTACATACCGGTACAAATATCAACTATCTACAATGACCTATTTCTCAATCGTACACAGTACAAAAAAATGTTTCTTTTATTATTCCCAAAGATCTTCCTACTTTTTGTTAGGGAGAAGTTAATTTTCAGTCATGGGTTTTACCCTTTTATCGACGTACACATGTCCATGTATATATGAAATATGTCTGTATGTCTTGTGCACTTCTTACTTAACAACTGTACTAGTTTTTCTTATGTACATGTATATAGGTCAATCTACAAATAGGACGTCCAAAGTGTGATATTTCTGTGCCCCTGCTACACCTAATTTATGTAATTTGACTTAGAAATAACCATCGAAATAAACTGCAAACTATTGTTATTGTGTGGCAGGTGCATGCTAAATACGTTGGATTTGCATTATTTTATCACTCTTGGATAAAAGAAATGTGTTCTAAACTTACAACGTGGTATGTCAGATGGAACAGGGACATGAATGGAACCCTATGTTTATAGCATGACCCATATCTACATTGACTAGTGAGAATGAAAACTGTTGGATTCAGTGGCTTTTGTAACAAAGTACATGCATGACCATCACTCAGGTCTTTTTTCCCATGTTCTGATGAGCTGAAACTGCGCAGAAGAATTCTGCTACGAACACTTCTGAAAACAGTGCACAATTTTCATTTGTCAGTCCAAAGTTTAAAAAAAAGAAAAGAGGAAACAAAAGTAGCATCCAGCGAATGCCTCCCCTTAAAGTTTGGGGTTATTTGATGTCACAGTTCAGTGGCAAAGACAGTTGTGCATACCTGATCGCATGGGGAAACAGGTACATTTATCTGGTTGCAAGAAAACATGTTAAAGTACAGCCCAGTAGCTTTTTTATAGTGCGCTGCCATTTGGATTTGATTGACAGATTTTGGCTCTAGATATAACAGCCAGCTGGCTATGCTTGTTTGTTGGAGAACTTTTATTTCTTCTCCTGTGGAAGGGGTTACAGCAGAGGCCTTTGAAAGCCTCTTTAAAGGCAGCCCTGTGTGCCTCGTTTGAGCATGTGTATACCAGGGGGTCTACCAAGGAGTTGAGCATTACCGTCAGGTCTTCTATGACGAGGATGATGTACCAGGTGTCCCGCACGTGGTAGGCGTTTTCCTCGATCAGCTTGGAAACGGTCAGCCTGTGCTGGGAGAACTGGATGAGAACGTAGACGAAGATCAGGCCCGCTGTGGTGAGCATCACCAAGTTGAGGATGCAGAAGACGAGGGTGTTGATGAGCACCATGCGAAACACGCGGAGCTGATTGTGGTGGCGTGGCAGTGGAGACAGTGCTGGGTTGCCGCGAACTCGACGCAGAATCACGGAGTACAGGAATGCCACGCCGAGGAGGACGATAAGGGACAGGGTCAACATCAGGCCGGAGTTGACAGCAAGGGCGATGAGGTATTGCTGGTTGCACTGGACGCCGGTGTTGACCATCAGGAAAACCAGCACGACAGCCACAACCAGCCACATGCAAGCCATTAACTTGGCATTGCGGCTCCTGCTACTGTGTACACGGTGCCTTATGGGACAGCAAATGGCGTAGTACCGTTCGACGGCGACAAGGAAGATACTGATGTTTGAGGCCAGTTCCAGGCTCCTGGAGAGGGCCAGGAACAGCATGTGTATCCACTGGCTGCCAATGGTCCAATGGTGGACAAGCCCGACGATAGTGGTGACCATTAACTGGAGACTATCGGCGACGGCCAAGTTGGTCAGGTACGCATTGATTGTGGTACGCGCGGACGGGACACGGACAAGGGTGAAGAGGAAGCTGCCATTGGATATGAGCCCCAACACCAGCAGGATCGGCATGACCCTCATGGAGATCTTTTCATTGATGTCTGTCGTCCACTCGCTCAGTGACGTGAAATTGGCAAACCGGCATTGGGCTGTGTCGGTGAAGTGTACATTTAATGGAAAAAGTGTCGATAGGCTTGCAGAAGTCATCTGAAAGTGTTGCCAGAGCTTTATGACCCCAGCTTCTGCTCTCCCCAAAATTGAAAAGTACCTTTTTTTATTCGCCTTGCACAACTCCAGATCAAAGGCGCTTGCTCTCTGCAACATCAAGATGCATTGTGATTAGTCGTTAGTGTCATCCATCTTTTATAATGATCTTATCAGTCTCAGGGAAGCCTCAGATACTGATACTTAGTTGTAGTTTGTCTTTGCTTTCTTCTCACTAATGAGTCTTCGTTAAAAGGTGGAATTCATTTGTTTCCTTCCATTTATATGTAACTGGTTGTTTCTCTTTGCAGGGTTGGCCAATGAAAATCACCTTGGTTAAAATCACTGATTTAAATTACAATTTCAATTTTTGTTTTTCTAAAATCACTGATTTTTATTAGTTTTTTAGAATAAGCCTCTTAAAAAAGCCGAAATGTTGCAATTTAATTTTTTTTTTCATCTTTTCAACTGATTTGTAATTTGTCCCTCGTGTAGGAAATGCTAAGTACCCTTCTGTGAGCTCTTTAGTGCCTGTAGTATTAAGAAGTAGGTGTGCATTTGTTTTACACACAATCTGGGTTGGCAGAATTTGTTGGGTTCAAGTCAAGCCACTTGTGTTTGATTCTGGTTATTGTTAAAATTAATTGACAAATGCAAGGTGTTGTAATCCTGATTTCATTTATCTTGACTTAAAGTGTCCACCTTTAAGTTTAACATGGCAAAGTATTAAAGCACATATATATTTCACTTGTACAATTTAGAAATGTTGGTCATGCAGTGAAACCAAAAACAAAACCCACCCTCACCCCGCCCCTCAAAGAATAGTTTTTTTTGGTTGGGCCTCGTGCGTCGAGGGTATAACAGTGTCGTGATACAGCTATGAATTGTTATATGTGAAAAGAAAAAGATTTGAAAAATGCCTGAACAAGACGTGGTTGCTTTACACCTAGACCTAGCATTGATACTCAAAAAAAGAACAGAATATTTCAGGTTCCTTTGTATTTGGCAAGCTGTTTCCTGCAGTCCATTTTTTTTTTAATTATTATACGGGCTTCCACGCACCCACATCCAATCGCTGTTTCTGTTTTTCAGGGGGTGTGGCCGAAGCGCTGGGGTTACAGCCGGGCGATGCATTTCTGGAGGCTGGGGGACATAGCGTAGCTGGAGTGCGCAGTGTCCTCATCATCGATTTGCTGAAGTGAGGTGTACTTGTTTCCTTTGAACCACTAACAGCCGGGAATCCTCCAACTTCAACAAATTCCTTTGTTCGTTCCAGCACTTTGAAACTATGCGTATCTTAGCAATTACACAGTTTCCTTACACGGTTTGTTTGATTTATATTTACGAAAAAACTCTGTCCTCTTTGAGTGAGCCCTTCACCACTTCCCAGGTTGCATCGTGTATTTGGGCATGATCTGTGGTTGTGGACTGTTATCATGATGCTGCCATGTTTGTCTTGTTCCCTGTAGCCCAATCAGCAATAGTACTACAACTTCACAAATTGATTAAAGGGAACAGCCTCTTTTGCTTCCAGCCCCAGTTTGGTTATATTGCGTTGATTGGCAGAAAAGCAATATGGCTGCCCCATGATAGAGGTCTACTCTATATGGTATTTTGTGGCTTCTGACTAGTAGCCATTCTGAACAAAGATATTGACAATAACGTACCACCAACGTGGTGCTGGGTAGCTCAGTAGAAAGTAAGTATGGTGATCAAGAGGTCACAGGTTCGAACCCCATTCATGTCAGTATCTTTGTTCACCTTTGTTATTAGCAATTGAACACTTTCTTGCTATCACTTTGTAAACAACTTGGTCTCAACTTTCCCAACAGTAGAAATCGTCCCTCCACGTTGCTGATGGCCCAGAGCACTTGAATTTATATCATGCGGCAGACATACCTGCACAAGATAAGGTTTATCCCTCTCTTTTCTCCCTAGGAAAGCCAGTGGACCCCTGCGTGTGCTGCTGCAACGCATGAATACCTCACCTCAGCAGCCATGCCCCTTGAGCCAGAAGTCCCTCAACCGTCCACCCCCATCAAAGCTGCCACAGCAGCCAGCCAAGCACAGCCCCAGGGTGAAACGGAAGATGCAGAAGAGCGTGTCCCCCCGCATCGAAGCCTTCCTCAGCAGGCCAGTATATGCCCCCCCTGAATGCAATAGGTCCACGTAATCAGATCTAGACAGATTTATCAGGATTTTGAAAGAAAAATAAGGCAGGTGCTTTTTTTTTACTGTTTTAGAAAGATTTTCACCGTTGTTTTATAAAATTTAGTAGCATTAGTGCAACTGCCGTTGGAAAGAACAAAATTAGTGAGACATGTTGGACAAGAGAATTGAACAATATTTGAAGGTTTGTGTAGTTTGTTCAAATCAACTTTGGAACACAATTTTACAAGAAGTCAAAAACAGCAGCTACCACAGTTGCATGAGCAATTATCAGCTGTGGACATGTATTTGTGCGTGGCCAACCTGCCCGTTTGTAACAACCTGCTCAAGAATACCGTTCCCGTATTACTCAAGTGTTGTCAAGAACCCGAGGGTGCTATGCATCCCTCGGGTGTTCAGAACGTCATATCCCACACCACAACGGAAAACAATTGTTTTGTCTCATACCTCTGTCCTAAGGAATTTATCCAAAGAAACAAGCTCTGAATTTCAGAAGATGATGGGCCTACTGTAAAACTGTACAATGTACATAAACATACGTAAACGATATTGTTTGCAAATTCACTGTCCCCTCCCTTTCGTTAATTGCGTAAACACTAATATGAAACTAGTGTGGGTACCAGTTAAAGTACATTTATATAGTCTGGTTTATAGCGGTCCCCACATTACCTTATACACTGCGGGGATGGGAAAGAGTCTGTTATACGAGCACAATCATTGCTTGAATTCCCTGGTAGCCTATGCACAAAACGTATAATGGGTACCACGCAAAACTGACCAAAAGGACCACACATGGGGTTTGTTCTCGAACTTCCTGAAACACCTCTGTTTTGTGCGTGTACGCGTTGCGTGCAGCACCATCCGTAGAATGAAATGTCTCACAGTGAGTGTGATATGCGGATATATCACCCTGTCATGTGATCGTTCTGGGGCAATAAACGGACAGTATCTAAGACAGAGGTATGACAATCCCATAATTTGCATCGAGAACGCCAAGAGATTTGATTCAAATGTTTGAAACATATGTAGCAAGCTCCCCACATCCAAAGAATTGACAGGCAAACTCATTAGTGACTATTGAAGCTCTGGAAGTTTGTTAATTGGATACGAACACAGTCAACAAATGAGTGAAACACTGATAATCACATCGCAGTACCTTGTACTGACTCACGATATGTACGTAATTGACCCGATCCATGACGTCCTACTATTGCAGGCTTCCTAACCACCTCCTAATCCTGACCACAAAGCTTATTAAAGGCGACTTCTTAGCGTACTTGGCCCCGATAGTGAATTTGGATACACGTCAATTGGTGTCTGATCAAATATTTGAAGTTGAATGCCTATATCAACTCAAGTGAATATTGACTGCAAAAGTATTGCAATCTCATATTTGCTTCGCTTTTACCATAGACCTGAAGTTTGAACCGGCCCTTAGAATGAATCTTTTTTTGGTGGGGGAGGGGTATGGCTCTGATTTCTCCTGTCCGTCCTTTTGGGTTTGACAGGACCAAGCCGATCGTCAACAGGCGACTCCAGCGCGAGTTGGTCGCCACGGTGGCCATGCGCACAGCCCGGCAGAACCAGCACACCTGCCTGCAGAGCTCTGACAGCTGTAACTCCACCTACTCAAGGGCCTCCACAGTAACCTGCGAATCAAGGAGGTTGT